TTTCTTTTTCCTTTTCTTTTTTTTGCGATGGTTTTCTTGATCGGAAGGAGTATCGTTGGCATGTTTTTATTACCTAGAGTCTGATGCATGGTCGATGTTTGCGCAGATAAGAAATGGGGAAAAGGAAAGGATAGGGTGGATGATGAAGACATTACTTTCCAGCGCATGGTTGCAAAGGTTAGGGGATCGGCCCTGCCATGTCTTTCATCATGCCCGTGTCATCAGTTTTTATTTACTTGTTTTATTTTTGTTTATTTTTGGTTTTTTTTGTTTTTTTTTTGGGTAGATGAGGGCTACACCTACTTAATTCTTTTACAGAAATAAAATGGTCAAAACACGATGACCCCAAAACCAATTATTATTTTAAATGAATGTAAACCATTGACATCTAACGGGAAACAGGTAAAATGAGCATGAACAAATTTATAGTGGAAAAGATATTCCAAAATTGAACACAGGTATGTCCAGTTGAGAGAGAATAATTGAAGCACTCCATTTGGGGCTGATAGATGCAAATGTCAGTTATGCCCGTCCCAGGGTTTGAATAAATAGTTAGCAGCCATGAAACAACAAAATAAGAGTACAACTTGCGCCAAGTCGAAGGCAATTGCGGCATCCAAAGATCGTAGAACTGCTGAATAAGCAGAAAGGTGAGAATAGCAGGAAGAACTCCCAAATGAAATACTCCAGAAGAAAAATTCATAAGATAAATTGATCCAGAACTCACAAAAAATAGTAGCACATATACCAAATCTCACACTAACAAAAAATAGCAGTATGTATATAAAATCCCAGGAAATGATACAGATTGAAGAAACTAAGAGTCTGTTTGGGATGACTGTAATTTTTTAAAAGTTGGTTGTAAAGTGGTGGCGTAGAAAAATTATAAGAAAACAGCGCCAGAAATTAGTATATAAACGTATATAAAATCCCAGAAAGGATGAGATTGAAGAAACTAAGAGTCTGTTTGGGATGACTGCAATTTTTTAAAAAGTTGGTTGTAAAGTGGTGACGTAGAGAACTTCTAAGAAAACAGCGCCAGAAATTATAAATATAAATTTTTTTCAAAAAAAAAATCAGACAACTTTCTTACATCAACCACACTTTAGTATGTCAGGTTGGAAAAAACGGTTTCCCATCACAAAGATGTTTATAAAGCAGCAAGAACGTAGCTCTACAGTCGAAGTTGCAACAGCGGTTTGAAACACAAAGGAGACAAAAAAGTGTACCTTATTGGGGAAGTTGAATTAGTAGAATAAATACTCTATAGCCTAAATGAAGGAGGGTCATTCAATAAACTAGGCATCTCTTAAAAAATTAGATGCGAAATCATTAGGAATTAAGGCTTTAGTTGTGTCAATGCTGAAAACGGCCATTTTCATGTCATCATTAGTAAAATTAGTCAAAAGGTCATCACATTTATGAGATGTGAGCATGCGATCAACAGGAATATAACAAGAAACAATTGAGGGTATTATCATCATTGTCGAGGAAGGCAGAAAAATGAGGAATAGTTGCAATGTTATCTTGAGTGCAGAGAGCGGTGCTATTAGAGGAAATATCTCATATAATCCTTTTTGCGTTTCTCTGATACATGAACATAATGTTATCCTCTCTCTTAGAAAGCCATGTACATTTAACGTGTAGTTTGACCTATTTTTTCTCTCAGATGGAGGCCTCCATTAAGTTACTTTGAGTGTTGATGACTTACTCATAAGAAGCTCCTTACAAAGGGGCCGATAATCCAACATTTGATGGATCGGCATTTGCTTATCTTTATGGTTTGATGTAGTCTTATAAATATAATTGGAGGAATTCCACGTGGTCAAGTATAGTTTGCTGCATAAAGCTCTATCCAATAAACATCTAATGGGGTTATCAGGCTGGTGATTGATCCGATTGAATGATACCCAAGTGTTGGGTAGATCAAGAAGGCAAGAGTAAAAATACATATATTGAAATCAGTCATATTGCAGGCACACCTCCTATATTTTTCTCTGCTTTACAATTATAGTTAAAGTAACCTATCACAATCTAAGGTTAATCGATGCTGGCAGCCAAAGAAGTGACAGAGTTCCATGATTCTTTTATTTTAGAAGCATTGTTATCAGCATAGTTAAAAGTGGCAAAAAATCAGATGGAAGAAGGGAAGGAGAGCAAACCATGAACATATTGATAGTTGGTCTCCATGGCTGTGATAGAAATAAAACGAGCATTTCATTTAATTGAAATCCGTCACTACCAGAGGTATGAAAAGCTGACTATCCTCTTAAGGGAAGACTCTAAAATATCCATACACAAAAAGGTCAGCAATAGTGGCAACAGAGCTTATTCTCAAGCAAACATATATAGTTTTACTTCTTATCATTGTCTCGGTTAGTGCTAGGGCTTTATTTATTTTTCTTAGGAATTTGTCTTTAGGGTGGTCAATTTCTTGGAAGTTCTAGCGATTTAAAATTCTGCCATCATCAAATGATAATATTTCTGCTACTAGATAAGTGGTTGTAAGTGATATTTGAGTATGTATACCTCAAAGCACCAATTATTAGATATATGAAACTTAAAACAACACAATATGGGCTGTGTTGAACTATGTTTTTGAGGAGATGGAGGGATGTTACGAAATCTTTTTGTTTGACTTACTTATTAATTAGGAAATTCGCAGGCTTACTTCTGAACTTGGATGAATTTTATGTTAGTTTGGAGAAATCTATGACACAGGTATCAACAATGTTATAACGGTCTTTGCATATATGTTTTTATGTTCAGCTCAGATTGTTTCTAGTGGCTTGTAATTATAGTTTCATTATTTTCTTAGCATCCCGACTCATTATAATGCTTGATCATTCACGGAGAGTTAATTAACCCACATTAAACATATGGTTACTAAGTGATTAGTCATTTTTATTGAGATCTAGTATTTTACATCTTGATTTTTATTTCATCATTGTTGTAACTTGGGATGCACAAAAAATTTAATAGAATAAAAATTGTTAAAAAATATATATGAAAATTTCACGAGTGAATTAGATTTACTAGATAGAAATGGTAATTTTAGGATTGAAAGAAGCGGTGAGGGGGGCAAGTGTCTAATCTGCATCTCATGTTACTGAATTAAACCAGTCTTTCGCTTTATTGGCATTGAAACAATAAATCTTTACCTTTATATTTGCAGCGCAGTAAAAAGTCAACACATTAATCATTCTTAGAGGAGTTAGGGAGATTTTTCTAAATTTTTGGCATTAAATGTAGCTTGTTTAGGGTTTAGGATATTGCCCGAGGAGTTCATTTGGTCTTTTTTTTAGCAGTTGAAATAATTGGCATCTAGACAGACTTCTGTCGTTTAGTTTCAACACTATGTAAGGCTGATTGCTATGAATGTTGAGGTAGGTGGTTTGAGCATGTGATGGATTCTCTTTATGGATGCAACTGTCACATTCATTTAAATATTGTTCGTATTTTTAAATATGAATGCATGTTTGTAATTTGCATGCATCAGACCTTAGAAATAATGAAATACACAACGATGAAGAAGAGTTAGTTTTTTAAAAGACGAGAATCTTTTTGACATAGAAGTCCATGAATAGACTAAAAAGAGCATGGGGATAAAAATGTTCACCATTAGTTTATACATGGAACATGTTTTGTACCCATTCTTGTCAATAACAAAGAATGCACTATCTTGCAATGTATTAGGAGCCATAATGCATGTTGTAATGCATAGTTTTAAAAAATAAGCTTATAATATTAACATAATCATGACATTTATAAATAATTCAACATTATATAGAGGAAAGATCCTAATGTCAAAAGGCACAGTCATTTCCCTATTGATATATCTAAATATTACTTAAACATACATATTTGTTAATGAAATAAAATTTTAATGGAACTAGATTTCATTGGCATTTAAAACAACTAAATTTGCAATAAAAATTTCTTAATTATAAAATTATAACAAGATATGATATTATATCAAAATGTTGAACATTGATGGTTTTACTTACAAATAGTAGAAATATATTATTTTAAAAATATTTATTTAACAAAATCAAAATTAATCATCTTGAGAATCACCATCTTTATTGTAGATCTAATAGCTTCTTCTCCTCCATAATCATTGGCATGGTAATCATATCTCTAATCAATATTTTCTTCGTCAATCTCAACTGAATTAAACCAGTCTTTCGCTTTATTGGCATTGAAACAATAAATCTTTACCTTTATATTTGCAGCGCAGTAAAAAGTCAACACATTAATCATTCTTAGAGGAGTTAGGGAGATTTTTCTAAATTTTTGGCATTAAATGTAGCTTGTTTAGGGTTTAGGATATTGCCCGAGGAGTTCATTTGGTCTTTTTTTTAGCAGTTGAAATAATTGGCATTTAGACAGGCTTCTGTCGTTTAGTTTCAACACTATGTAAGACTGATTGCTATGAATGTTGAGGTAGGTGGTTTGAGCATGTGATGGATTCTCTTTATGGATGCAACTGTCACATTCATTTAAATATTGTTCGTATTTTTAAATATGAATGCATGTTTGTAATTTGCATGCATCAGACCTTAGAAATAATGAAATACACAACGATGAAGAAGAGTTAGTTTTTTAAAAGACGAGAATCTTTTTGACATAGAAGTCCATGAATAGACTAAAAAGAGCATGGGGATAAAAATGTTCACCATTAGTTTATACATGGAACATGTTTTGTACCCATTCTTGTCAATAACAAAGAATGCACTATCTTGCAATGTATTAGGAGCCATAATGCATGTTGTAATGGCTCCTAATACATTACAAATTGCACCTCAAATCCGGTTAATACTCCCCTTCAAATTGCACCTCTCTCCTGTGTTTGTCCGCCTTCCTCTTCGTGATTTGTTGAGCTCTCAGGAAATGCTTTTCAAGTCTGCTAGTTTCCCGTCCCTCTCCTCCAAGTATTGACCGACCGACGCTGGATACCGGTGTGATACTATGCTCATTTGACCGACCGACGCTGGATACCGGTGTGATACTATGCTCATAATGTATCAAGTGATGTAATCCCACCTATATAATATATTGAAAGGGGTTGTCTGTGCTGTGGTGTGGTATAAAGTATTATACCAATATTCGACCCATGCAATCCACTTAACCCAAAGCTTCGGTGTATCAGACAAAACAACTTAGGTATGTCTCCACACTCTTGTTAACCACCTTCGTCTGCCAATCAGCTTAGGGATGATATGCGATGTTTCTTTTAAGGGTCGTTCCTTGCAACATAAATAATTTCTTCCAGAAGTGGCTCAGGAAAAATTTGTCCCTATCTGATACAATTGGTTCCATTACCCCGTGCAAACGAACTATTTCCTCGATAAACGTCGCCGTGGCTGAGACCGCAGTGTAGGGGTGTCGTATGGGAATGAAGCACATACTTGCTTAGGCAATCCACGACCACCATGATGAACGTGAACCCTTCTGACCGTGGTAACCCTTGACGAAATTCATCGTCACTTCTCACACCTGCCTCAGTAATGCTAATGGTTGTAGTAACCTTCTTGGTGTCGTGATCAAGTACTTGTGTCGCTGTCACACATCGCATGCTGCCATTATGTCCACGTGTATGTTCATCCCCACCCAATAAAGCTCTGTCGTTAGATGACTGTTGGTCTTCTGCACCTCTGAGTGTTCCGGAGCGCTTTTTCGGTCAGGAGACCTGACAGTCCGCATGGTACGCTGACCAATAAAATTTTGCCACGTGGAAAATGTGGGACCCGCTTGTCCACGTAATTAAAAAAATTAAAAAATTTTGGAAATCGCTGAGGCCAACCCCGACCGATGTACGAGCTCGCGTCTATTCGAGTACCGCACATTTTAGAATGTCGAGAAAGACGATTCAAAAATACTCTCCGGTGGTTTTTCTTCTACGTTTTCACCGCTCGCTCTGCTAGGGTTTCACATTTTCCTCGTTCGCTAGCTTGGAAGCCGCGAGACGCT